TAGTTACAATGTGTTTGGAGCCGCGGATCCCAGGTAAAAGGTTTTGGAAACCATGGTTGAGAAGGGTTTACGATACCAGAACCTGGCGGGGTGTGGCCTTGGCTTGCAAACTTACAGTGTAGGCTGCATAGACCTAGGCCATCTTGGGCCCCTGGAGTCCAACTTTTCAAACAGATGAAAGGAGGAAAAAGTAAATATTCTTTCAAGAAAGCAGGTGCCTGGTTGAAATTTCTTTGACATTGTGTTTTCTACTGTTTCAAAAATCATATAAATACATCGCATTACAACATGTGGCTAGGTCTGTTTTGTATTAAAATGCTTACATTTTTTGTTATAAAGAGAGTAAACCTCTCTTCCCTTCTATTATCTCTGCCAATGGTACTGCCACCCCCTCAGTTACTCCAGCAGAGAACCCTGGCACCACCACTCCCGTTCCCTTCCCCCTGCATTCAGCCCACCACCCGGTTGGGGAGGTTCTGTCTTCATTTCCTCTCTCTCTGCTCCCCAACTCCTTTCCTAGGTTACTAAATAGCCTAAGAGGTTTTATTTTGTTTGTTTGTCTCTTTTGATTTTGAGAGTATGGTCCTTAAAGCTGGGGACGCTGAAGCAAGAAAGGCCTTAAGATAGAAAATGCAACAGGAGTGGGCCTGGGCGGGGCTGCTGTTGGCTCGCGGAAAAGTCAAAGAACGGGGCCACGGAGACAGGTCCGGGGGCCAGCCTGGCTGCAGGTCTCGTGGGGACCCTTAGAGGTTGGGAGAAGCAGGTCTGAGAGGGGAGAGAGGCTGGGCATCCTCCCAGGAGGGAGAGCAGCCTAAGTCATTTTTTTTTCTTTAGTTTTCACGCTTCCCTCCAGCAGCCTATTCCCCGCACAGCTGTCCTAATCTTTTCATGTTTTAACCTAAGCCAGAGCTTGTCATTTTGTGGTAGTTGTTGTTTGTTTGAAAGCAAGCCTGTAATGGTTGCCATTGGTTTGGAAAGCAATGCAAAATGGCTCCCCTGGTCCACAAGATTCAGACCACTTCCACTTTTGCCGGCCACGTTCTGAGATGAGTGGCTGTCCTTGTTCCCCAGTGTTCATCCCTTTGAACTTCAAGGTGCAGCCTGGAGGGAACATTCTTCTCCTAGTTCTTCCTAGGGGCTAATATTTTTCTTCTTTTTTAGGCCTCAATCTGGATACCTCCTCTGCTGGAGGCCTTTACAGACTTTCTGAAGGTGTCCTCCCCCACTCACTTTCCTTCATATTTTTAAAAATATTTATTTTTAGAGCGAGGGGAAAAGAGGGAGAAAGAGAGAGAGAGAAACATCAGTGTGTTGTTGCCTCATGTATGCGCCCTACTAGGGACCTGGCCTGCAGCACAGGCATGTGCACTGACTGGGAATCGAACCAGCAACTGCTTGGGTCGCAGGCTAGATCAGTCCACTGAGCCACACCAGCCAGAGCCCCCTCATATTCTGATCTGTTTCATTTCCTAGCATTTTTCTCAATCTGAAACTATTTTGCTATTTTACAAACGGATTCTTGTTTACTTTTACATCTTACATAAAGAAAAACTCCAGGAAAACCAGCTGACTTTGTGTCTTTTTCACTGGTCTGGGGTGGACACCTAGAACAATGTTTGATACTAAATCTTCCTTACATGACTGCCTAGGTGAACAGTACACCCTTGTAAATACTTCTGTCCCAGTCTGAGAGAGATAAAATTAGGTTAATCTCATTCCATTAACAATGAGATGTTTTTTAATTGAATTTTCTCAGGGTATGTTGGTTAATAAAATCATAAGTTTTCAGGAATAAAATTCTATAATACATCATTTGTGTATTGCGTGTTCACCACGCCAAGTCAAATCTCCTTCCATCACCATTTACCCCGCCTTAACTCTTTCCTACCTCCTCCCACTCCCCCCCCCCCGCCCCCCGAAATCGCCATACTATCTTCTGTGAGGTGTTTTGTTTTATTTTGTTATTTTTGCTAACCCCTTCACTTCTTTTAACCCAGGCCCCTACACTCCTCCCCTCTAGACATCCAGATTTTTTTTTTTATACCATATTTACTAGTACATTTCCCGTGCAGTTATTTCCATTATCAGGGAATGTACTTATCATATAAACAGGAGTTTTCTCATTATAAATTACCTTTTCAATTTTCTACATCATCCTCACAAGCTTGCATATTGTATGAGAAATGGCGTAAGGCCTGATATGATAAACAAAAATCTGGCTTAGAAAGGTAAGGGTCATCCATGGACGCTGGTCAATTCATAAAGAAAATAACCTCTCCTTCAACCGTGCTGTCACAGGCGATGTCCTTCCTTCCTGTCAGCGATAGCCAACATTTTGAAATATCGACATTGCGTGTCTAAAGTCCTAAATAACTAATAAATTAAAATTTTAAGGGATTGCTGTATCAGATACCACCAGTATGATGGCTGATGTATATTCCTCGATTCATTCCCTTAGACAGATGTACTGAGTGCTGGGACATGTGAATAAGACAGAAGAGGACCTTGCTCTCGTAGACCAACAGTCTGGTAGGTAAACAGACCTTAAATAATCAGTACCCGGGGACTTTAATCAGTGTGAAACAGGGATCTAGGGGAACATTTAGCTTGGGGACCTAACTGAGCCTAAGAATCAAGGGAAGCTTTAAGCAGAGATCTGAAGTATGAATGGGAAGGGAATAAGCGTGCAAGCGTGTGTGTGTGCGCGCGCGCGCGCGTGTGTGTGTGTGTGTGTGTGTGTGTGAGAGAGAGAGAGAGAGAGAGAGAGAGAGAGAACTGATATAGGAAGTGGGGGGGAGTAAAAGTGGGTGGCATTTTTATTGACAGGGAAGGACATGGCACTTTATTGGAGATAGAATCACCAAAAATGAAATAGAGCTGGAGATGGCAAGAGATAATGTGGAGAGAAAACCTGAAATCCAATCTAATTACAGTGATTTTAAATGAACTAATTGGGGGAAGGGGTGTTGTGTTCTGCCCTCCTCAACTTAGACCAATTCCTAGCGATTTTGCTCCAAAAGTGCTATAGTCATTAATATAAAATGATTTGAAAATTATTTTTATCTATGAGAACAGAGTTGTTAGACAAATATTCCCAGACATAGTCTCCTTGGTTTATTTCACCTTTCTAAATGAGAGAATAAATAAAAACACTTGTAACATTACATATTTTCTATTATATTTAAGAAGAAATTGAAAATGTTTTCCTTCATAATTTATATACATAAAACATTTATACATTATATGTAAACATATATTTATATAAAACATTTACATATTATACTTTTTATATGATGCATGTGTAAATGTTTAAGAAGATATTTAAGACCCTCCTTATAGCATTTGAAAGACATGTTTTTCTGTTTTTTTCCAAAAGTAAATGGCATAAAGCTTTTCAGGTGGTATTTTTTTCTTAATTTATTGATTTCAGAAAGGGAGAAAAACATCGATTTGTTGTTCTAATTATTTATTCATTCATTGGTTGCTTCCTGTATGTGCCCTGACCTGAGATCAAACCTGCAGCCTTGGCAGATGAGGACAAAGCTCTGACTGAGCCACTGGCTGGGGCCTCCGGTGGTACTTTAATTTAATTTTATTTTTATTTGTTAGCCAATAACATTCATTATTTATGAATAATGAACATACCTAGAATCTTCCATTGGACCTTCAGATGGCATTTTAAAGGTAGCTTTTTAAAAACATCTCATTACTTTCACATATTCCCCCTTTTTAAAAAGGATTTGATTTTTGTTCTTACAGAAGGACATTAGGACAATAAAATTAAGAGTTTTTTTATAAGGTACACAATTGTAACATTAAGCAAAAGGCTGTAACTTTTATAATGTTGCTTTTACATTTTTAAGGAAATAGCAAACTATTCAGGCTCAACCTGCCCTGTGCCTTTAATATGACCTGCACTCACAAGAGAGGGAAGTGTTTGTATTCTCTGTGTCTTACTCTCTAGATCCCCGTCTTCTGGAACAGGCGTGTGAACTGCGGCCTGGGGCCGGACCCAGCCTCGGCCTGGTCATTGGCTGGAACACAGTCATGCTCATCGCCCTCTGTGTATTACCTATGGCTGCTCTGCACCACCGTGGCAGAGGTGAAGGGTCGTGACATAGATCCGTGGGCCCACGAAGCTTAAATCTGGCTCTTTGCAGAAAGAAATTTGCCACCCTTGGTCTAGAAGAGCGGGTAGCGGGTAGCAGGGTCCCACATATGCTTACAGAATGAATACAAAGCTAATAAAATAACACTGGCCCACGTAAACATTCAGCATTTGCTCTGTGCCGTGAACTGTGCTAAACACTTGATAGGCGTCCGTTTGAATTTCACAGCGGTGTTACATAAGAAAATAGGCCTATTTTGTTCCCTTACCTCCTTCAAGTTTTTAGTCAACTGCCACTACCTTGAACACCTATTCAAAATTGCAGACTCCTACTTTTCTAGAAGTACCTTTGCTTATTCTATAGCACTTTACCTTGTAACAGATGGCATACATATTTATTTTGTATGCTTAGGAGGATGTATACTCTTATGAGTATGTTCGTATGTTTACTTACTGATATGGCTTGCTCAACCCGTGAGCAGCCTAAAGCAGGGCTAGCATATAGTGAGTGCCCAGTAAACAATAAATGTTAGGTGATCAGTGTGGGGGTGTCCAGGTAAAATCTGGCTATGACCCGCATCTTACATAAGAGCTCATTCTCTTACCCTCTTGCAGAGTTTGTCAGAGAAGTTATCAATGGCCTGGTCGAGTAGCTCAGTTGTTTAGAGCATTGTCCCCATTTGCCAAGGTTGTGGGTTCAGCCCCCGGTCAAGGCACATAAAAGAAGAAACCAACAAATGCATCTGATAACAGCTCTAATGTTGGGCTATATTTTACCTCATGCTTACTATCTCAAAGCAGGTGCTTGTCGAAGACTTCCCCAGATCAGTACTACCTGGAAGTGGTTGTTCTATCCTTGTGCAAACCTTCGAGAAGGAAGCAGCAGGACGATATGGAGCAGCAGCTGAACGCAAGGGCAAAGACACCTGGACAGAGAGGACTGGAGAGAAGAGCGCTGCGTGGGGATGAGCCAAATCCAGCCCAGCAGGGGCCCCGCAACACCGTGCAGGCGTTGCGGGATGGAGTTGGGACCCACAAGACTAGCTGCCAGGCTGATGAAGAAGCAGCCTTCTCTGACTGTTACATAGAGTGCATCGTAAGAGGCGAGTTTTCTGAACCCATCCTGGACGAGGATATACTTGTGAAGTCCTTTAAGTACCTGAAAAAAGGATCAGAGCAAACGCGTTCTCAACAGGTTCTTCCAGCAAGCTCACTTCCTGAGTGTTCCTCGCAATATACAATCGAAGGGGCAAAACCAGAATTTTCTCAACAGACTGTTGGAGAGAAATCATTTGCTGAGTATCCTGAGCGTATGACAGGCAAGAAGCTTCCTCCTGGAGAAATACCCAGCACTGACAATGAGTGTCAAGTTAATAAAGATGGTAAACAGCTTGCGGTATTTGCCAGATATGAGCCAAGAGCAAATGTAGGATACCCTGCTCCAGGAGCAATTGCTTGTCCTCACAGTGGATGCACGAGAGAGCTGAAGAATAGAGATGCGCTGAGAAAGCATGTCCTCTTTGTTCATGGTCCCCGAAATCACGTGTGTGCTGAATGTGGGAAAGCGTTTGCTGAGAAATCAAAGCTAACAAGGCATTTTATGGCTCATACTGGAGAGAGGCCTTTTCGGTGCACTTTTAAGGGGTGTGGAAAACGCTTTTCCCTGGCCTACAATTTGCGTACACATGTACGCATCCACACTGGGGAGAAAAGTTTTATGTGCACCTTTGAAGGCTGTCGGAAGAGCTTTGTGCAGTCAAATAACCTGAAAAGTCACATCTTCACTCATATAAAACCAAACATAATCAATGAAAAAGAAGATGGAAAATAATCTTCAAAGAGGATAAGCATTTTAACAAGAGTAATTAGGGGAAAATGTGCCTCATTGATTATGGTTTTCAGGAAAGATTTTTTGAATCAATGTTGCAACCCTGTAAGGCATAGTTTTTAACGTGACTAAGATTCTCCTATAGTTTGTGATACTGTTGTAAGAACATTGTGTACAGTGTTACAGTGTGCTTCCAATAGTAATGTCAGTAATGAACTTACTTCAAAAGCATAATTCTTAATACTTTATGAATGAAATTATTGGATAAGGGGCTTATTTTCACATATTATAAAAATGAAATTAGCTGTAGTTTTTAAGCCTGTCATTTCTAATTGTTTAACTTTTGCCTTTTAGGAATATACTTCATGCTACTTGTGATAATCTTAGAGAATGAAAATTTTACAATAGATTGTTACTAAGTGAATAAGTAGTTAAACCTTTTTAAAAGTTAAATATAATTTGTAATCATTTTCTTATCGTGTGTCAAACTATTAAAATCATATACCTGAATTATGTGAGAGTGTCCATTCATTTGAATCATTTCAGATCTTTTCAAATAAAAGGAAATAAAATCCCCCAAATAGGCTAAGGCTGGATTGAAAAATCAATGTGTACACTAAAGAGAAAGATCATTTATTTGTCTTTGAAAGCAGCAACAATTGCAAAGACAGATGGTTCAGCATCGGTGAGATGTGAGACCGGAGCTCTCCATCTCCCTGGTCAGTTAAGGTATGTGGGTCACAGCCATTTTGGAGGGTATTCTAGGGCAGCTGAAACATTTCGACCCAGTCTGTGCTTAAACAGAAGTGTATCACCTCACCTCTGGAGGCTAGAAGTCCACAACCAAGGTGTCGGCAGGGTCGGTTCCTTCTGAGGGATTTGAAGGGTCTGTTCCAGGCTTCTCTCCTTGGCTTGTAGGTGCCTGTCCTCACATTTGGGGGGTGTTCTTGTATCTTCACAACATCTTCCCTCTGTGCTGTGCCTGCCCATGTCCAGGTTTGCTTTTGTAAGGATACCAGTCATTGAATTAGAACTCACCCTCATGGCTTTATTTAACTTGATCACCTCTCTAGAGATCCCATCCCCAAATAAGGCCATATTCAGAGGTACTGAGAGTTAGGATTTTAACATGAATTCTGCGGGACTCACAGTTCAACCCAAAACTTGCATTCTTGCAGACCCAATAATTTCAGTTTTTAGAATTCTATAGAAATATTTACAGTAGTGTTCAAGGTGTTAACTGAAACTTTTAATAGTAATAATCCATAACTTAAATGACCATTAAAAGGAAACAAATTGCATAAATCATGATACCTCTAATAAAAAATGTGCAAATATCCTGAAAGAAAGCTTGGTTGTAAAGGGAAGAAAAGAGGAGCACAGCATGAAGAAAGCTGTTTTGATAGTTAAAAGGAGAAATACCTGTATTTCTTTGATTTTAAGATTTAAGACACCATTGGAAATAATGGTAATATGTACCATGAATTTAACAGCTTTCAGGGAGGAGAACACAGCACAACAAACTTTAAGGTCAATCTTGATTTCAGAAATGCTTAAAAACAAAAGGTTTATGTTTTGACACAGGATGAGGTCCTTGTTGTTATACACATGAGTTTTTTTATTGATAATATATTTGGTATGCGTTTATACCATCATTTCTGTAGGAATGCGGGTCCTGAGCGTCTTAAAAGGAGCATTAGATAAATAATCCATTCATCAGTTTGGAATTTCCTCTGAATAAAACACCCAGTATAGAAATTAAGATGGGAATTTGATCCAGATGATGGGGGCAGAGGGGGGCGGTGAGTGAGGACACAACACCTCTGAAGACCAAGGGGAGGGCAGGGTTATATAGAGAGCAATCAAGAGCAGATAAAATCACGGGCATGGTTTAGGCTGCCAACTTAAGACCTGAGACCCAAGGCATCAAGAAGCATCAAAACTGACTCTTAAGTGAAGGCTGGTCTATTTCCATAGAGCACTTTTCCTGGAGCTGAAGGGCCCAAGCACTAAGTATAACCCTGAAGATAAAGTGCACAAAGAACATCAATCTGAGAAAGTGTTTGTGTTTGGATTCCAAGGCTAAGTTAAACTCTCACTTGGGAATAAGGTGCTGCTCTGCTAGCCTCCAAGGTGTTTTTTTGTTTGTTTTGCTTGTTTTAGTTTTCCAAAGAGGAATCCTAAAACTGTTTAGAATGTAAAAGAAAAAAGGTACGTGGATGTAATGGGAAAAAGAAAGAAGGGAAAAGGTTAGGTGACAAGGATGAGTCAGCTGAAATCTTAATGTTTTGCAAAAGAAATGCACATATACTTCCCACATTTATGTTTTAAGGAAGAATGAGTACAAAATCTGTGAATATATATCCAGAGAAAACTGAAAACGAATATCATTTCTTCTAGATTTCTACATGTCTCTAGATAGCAACATTTTACAAATCCTAATGAATAAATAAGTATTTTTATTTTCATGCTGGTATTTGGATTCATAGCCCATATCCCATTAAATAAAAAAAAAAAAAAGATAATACTTATTTTAGAGAGAGTGGAAGGGAGGGAGAAAGAGAGGGAGAGAAACAGCCTTCTGTTGCCTCTCACGTGTGCCTCACCTGGGGACCTGGCCCCAGCCCAGACCTGCACCCCGACCAGGAATTGACCTGGCGAACTTCTGCTGTGTGGGAAGATGCTCACCAACTGAGCCACAGTGGTCAGGGCATATCCCAATTATTTTAATGACCAAAACATTAATTTTCAGAAGGTAATAGATGGGTAGTTACAGAGCATTCATGGGGACGTGAGGGACAGCATTGGGAATATAGCTAATAATATTGTGATGACTTTGGGGCTAGGTGGGTCCTGGGGATATCAGGGGAATGCTTTTTAAAAGTATATGATTGTTTAAAAAAAAGGTGACATTAGAGAAATGCCCATTGTTTCCTTAATATCACTAACACAGAGGACATAGTCGGCAATCAATACATTATGGAATCCATCAATGGGGAAAATGGCTTAATACGATTTTTAAAATATTACAGTTATCAAAATTATATGTAATTCAAAAACAGCTAAAAAAGTATTGCTTGTTTTTCCATGACCTCTGGTTACTGTGAAATAAAGGGGGAGAACTTGGCTCATGCAGTACGTGCCCGTGAAAGGAAAAAACGCAGAACTACTTGTATGGGTTAAGGAACCACGCACATATCAATTCCTACCCCTCACAAGGAATCCCCACTCTTAAAAGATGTTTTTAAAAATTGTTACATTTATTTTTATTAGTGAAAATTACCTTAAATCTCATTACCTTTTTTGGGGGGGCGGGGGTCATTTCTATCTTCCTCTAAGACAGACAGGAGGCTGAGGGCCTGCTCGCCTTGGATAATGGAAAACGAACCTGCACTGAGAAGTACATGTACCAATACTGGTTATGTAGTCAAAAATATGTCAAACCTCTGACATTCTTACATTTCTTTTATCTTATTCTGTGATATGTTCACAGATCTCCCAAACAGTCATACTTGGATTCTGCATTTTACCTTATACCATACATTGGTATAACATATATTGGTAGATATAAGATTTCTACCCTATTTTGGCCCAAAGGAATTCTATCCAAAGCACATTTGTCATATATTTCCTGCTGAAAATGCATGTGTAGGAATTCATGTGTGCTTATGTTTTAATTACCCAATGCACTAGCTCTAACTGAATAAATTGCATGATTACATCCTACATTGGACACAGAACAGTGCAAGTTACATTAAAAAGCCATTATATTTGCAACTCTGAGCAAAAGACTATAATTAAAAGGCAATTGGATGAAATTAGCTTTGAGAGTACAAGAGTTTAAGTAGGATTTGGTAAATGAACATTAATGGTTAACATGTGGTTTTTATTAGGTATTCTGCTTTTCTCTGACCTCAGGGTTGGATTTCTTAGATGTCAGTAGACCAGACATATGAAAACACCTGTACAAAGCCAGGCTTTACCATGTGGCTAAAGTTGTATCTATAAATAAGGCCAACATAACTTTTGTTACTTCAGTAAATCAAAAGTATTAAGTAAGCTGGAATGATTCCCTAGGCATTAATAAACTACTTGTAATACTCCTAAGATCTCCGTATGTGTCATAAAAAGCATAGTACATGCTTCCTGTGATTCAAAATTTTGGTGATAAAATATACATGTACAAATCAATAGTAAACTAGAGAATTTTGATAGTGACCATTAAGTATACAAAAGATTGTTAAAGTTATACACAATATATTTAATAGTTCCTAATCCTTATCGAAGGCAACCAATCCATTTGCAAATTTCTGAGGACTTGGCCTACTACTACTAGTATTTGTGTGGGGGTGGGTAAGTAGAAATCTTTTTTTCTTGCCAGCTATATATCCCGAATAGATGTTATGCTTAGGGCAGATTAAAGATGGCTGCAAATTCTTTGCTGCTCATTCCACTGGGATTTGGAGTCTGTTTCCCTTCCCTTTATGTCTCTTCTGGCCTGTGAATGTGTTGATCAATAGAATAGGGTGTAAAGGATGCTACAATAGCTTTGCCCATTCCAGGCCTAGATTTTAAGACGTCAGGCAGCTACTGCCTTGCTCTCTTAGAAACCAACTGCCATATAGGAACTATGACGACCCTAAGACCACCATCCTAGGCAAAATCCAAGCCACATCCAGAGGCCCTGTAGCTTAAGAGGCAGAGAGATCAAGACCAAGGAGCCATGAGGTGCCAGACATGAGTGACGGCAACGCCTTGCAATAGCCATCCGGCCCCAATCGCCCAGGTGATGCCAAATGAATTGTAGACCCTGGATGGTCCCTTCCCGAATTTCTGACCCACACAATGATAAACAAAATAATTTTTTTTTTTTTTTGGCATAGGAACTATAGTTGAAAACACTATATTGAAAAGTTGAAATTTGCTAAGAAAGTAGAACTCAAACTCTCTCTCTCTCTCTCTATGGTGGTGGATATCTTAATTAGAGGCAATGAATTTCCTTA